ATAATAAATAAGTACATATTTAAATTAAATATTAAATATAAATATTAAATTATTTTAAAATAATTATGAGTTCAGCATTGACAGTAAGTTTTACCTCTTGGAAATTAAGGCTTCAGGCCTGGTTGAATTATAAGCAGTGACAGTGTCTACATTGTCTTACAGCTTAACTAGTTTATTTAGTCAAAGGATTTTATTTTTTTCTTCTATAATACATATTCAGTTCTTTCTAATCTGAGTCTTTTTTTATGTTGGCATATTGGCTGCAACTGAGCATAGCCTGCAAGGTAACAAGCTCTTTATTAATATTCACAGAACTAATTTTATGAATAGGTATTAAAATTCTTTCTTGGTTGCTTTGTTACTGCAGAATTTGTCAGCTTGTTGAGCATCATTAATTTAGTTCATCGTGAAATGTGCAAACTCACACATCTGACTGAAAACCACAAAACACAGTAGCAGCCACTGCTTTTTAGAATAGTAGTCGTGAAATACTACTCTTCCTGAAAGCTTGGTGGTTAAAGAACTCACCAAGAATGTTGGAGACGCAGGTTCCTTCCTCCACTCAGAGATCCTTCTTCTCTGGAAGAGAAGAATGTCATCTGTCTTGTGTTTCTGGAAGAAAGGATGTCGCTACTTACTTTCAAATGATGCTGTGATTTTTCATTTGAAGTCACGTCATATAAAATGAAGGCTCATCCAAAGAAGGGATGAGGTGTAAGACGATGTAGTTTGATGCTGCTTAGCTCTTAGGGCTCTCTATTTGGAGTTTTTCTGGAGGAGGAGAATTTCTGAAATAGCATGCACGGAATTTAGGAACAAACCATTTTGCAAAGGAATTTGAGTCATGTTTGATTTGATGAAATGCAGAAGAGCAATTCTTATGTGTGTAATGTGTTGTCATTAAAATTCTGCATTTATAGGGAAATAAATCTGGAATGATCAGTATATTACGTATCTAGTTCCTTGCATAGAAAGTATTAAGAATGTTTCTGTTGCTGAAATATACTGAAACTACATGGTTAGATTTATATGCCACTCGTAAGTTAGTTTCTTTCAAACCGTATGCTAAACTTAAAAATAGTGCAGTAACACTTAGTGTAATCTCGAGCTTAAAAAGTAGTACTTTCCATAAAGTTTTCATGAAGTTAAATTTTTCCTCCAAAACTAACAACAGATACTCCAGACTTGGAAACTGGAATGTGATGGCAGGTTCAGAATTGTGGCTTACAGGTCTGCAAGTAAAGGGGTAGGAGAAGTGTTGGTGATTTTAACAAATCATTTCTACTGAAGTTGAATTAGTTGCCTGCAGTTGCCCGCACTGAACATTTGCAGGAAGTTAACTGAAAAAGAGGTAACTGGTGGGAAAACTGCTCTTTTAATTTGTGTCTGAATTGATTAGCTGTTCATGTTCTGTAGTCTTTTGAAGAACAGTAAAAGCATCTGCAGAACTAGGAGGTCTGAAAGAATGTCTCAGGGAAAAAAGTTAGATGTAAAACTCTAAAGGTGTGCTTAAACAAAGGAAATTCTTTCAAAACTGATTATTTTACTGTATTACTGCACTGAAATCAGAAACTTAGTATTACAGTTAGGAAGTTACTGCCTAAATATATGTATAGAATTTAGATTACCAGTATAAAGCTAAGTTTGCTTTCTGTCTTTCTAGCTACCCACATAGCTACCTTTTTTCTAAAACACTGTAGAAAAAGTTACAACTTAACAAATAGACTGTAAATGTAGATCTATCTTCTGATTCTATTAATAGGACAAGCTACTTACAACAATTACATTAGATTATCTTGGAAAGAAATGATCAGATAGCTCTATATATTCAGAGAATATAACTTCTTCTAAAGAGAAGTTTAAAGAATTCAGCCTTCTTACAAGAGTCTTGCTTTTTAAATTGTCACAATATACTTTTATAAACTCATCTAACCTGAATGTATTTTATTTTAAGGTGCTTGTGGTCCAGGCTGTCAGACCAGACAGGCTACAGAGTGCCATGGCTCTTTTTGCATGTAAAACTCTAGGTAAGTTAATTTTTCACCAGGGTGTTTCCACACAACAGCTAATTATTTTTTTTTTTGTCCTATGTTTCTCTTTTATTTTATAATTCTTATGGATTCCCTAAGTTTTAGGATTTGAAAATATGCTGTAAATGGATTTGCTGATTTTGTTCTTGTCAAGTATTGTTAAAAAGTGTTTTTAAAATGGTTTGGTTTATGCTGTACAGTGATTTAAAACATAGTAAAAGATCTGTCAGATTCTTTTAATGAATTCTTGAACACTGGAGTAATTAAGAAAGGAGGATAGTTGGTTTTCTCTATGTTTTACATTGCAGCATTTTCCTTAAGATACAAATTTTCCAAAAAGATTATTTCATTTAATGTCATTTACCATTTAAAAAACATTAGGTTTGAGATTTTGTAAAATGGATCTCAAAAGATTGTTTCATATTTTCAGTCATTTTTGTCAGTCTCTTGGACTGTAATACAATTTTTACTGTGTGTTTAGAAATACACACGATTTAGAGTGAGTCAATACTATGATTGTCTATTTGTTCTAGTCTGTCTGTTTCTTGTCTGGGGTCTATTGTATCCAAAGTTTGGGACTTATATTCCAAATAATCTTAATATTGCAATACAGCACATCAAAGCCTTCCTTCAGTTTTTAGCAGTTAACTAAAATATGCATATGGAAGATGAATTACGAGTGTCTCACTGGGGTGGACGCTGTAGTTTTAAAAGTCACTGTCTGCATTATGTAGGGACAAGGCAGAATTTGTTGTTTTTAATGTGGTACAGTGTCAGGACAGAAGTGGGATTAACAAAAGATTGTAAAGGCCTTAAATGTAAGTGGCAAAGGCTGTTTTTAATGTGGTAGAAAATGAACCTGGAAAATTGACTCAGAGGCTGCCAAAGTAATATGGCTGGACTTACATTTCCAGTACTTGTGCAGATCTGCATTTTGAATGATCTTGAGATGGGCAATTTTGCATGATAATGCGATAGATGAATTACATATAAAAAACAATGACTGTGGTAATTTTAAGTACTTGAAATATGCGTCATTTCGTATTAGTATAAGATTAGGTATGAGTTTAGGTCTCTGATTCTTACGTTTTTAATGGCATTTGTGTGACAGTTTATCTTATTCCCTCTTTATGCTCTCTCTGTGGGCATTATTTGTTGGTCAAAATTTGTTTCATGTCTGCCACCAAGGCCAGTATTTTCAGGAGTAAGGTTAGGCTGCTCTGTCAAACATTGTTAGTAGATAGAGAGGGTACTTTCATCATGGTGAGTATACAGGTCCCACGCTGACAATGTCCCTGCCTGTTGGAATCAAATGGCAAGTGCGGTCTGCAGTACATGCATCTGAAAGCCCAGCAGAGACATGAATTCAGAGTAAGTTTATTCACCCACTTACTGTCTTCCAAATCTTAATGTATTACATAAATTGGAGAGGTCTACCTTGATACCACTTCCCTGGAGGCGTTCCACAAAGGAATGGTTTTTGTTGAATGAAACTACAGCCTCACCGAGGAAGGCAGAATACCACTGACTCCATTTGTAGGCGAGGTTTCATCCACAGATTTTTCACGCATATCAGTGAGATTTTATTTTGAGATCATTTCATATATATCATGACTAGCACTTTCATACTAATAAAAGGGGTCATGCTTGTATGAATATTGTTTTCGTATTTTTTTGTATCATGTCTTTTTCAGGGTTTTTGCCCTGAAACTTTACTTAAACTAACTGTTTTGCTTAGTTCAAAAGGGAACCATTAAGTTTCCAATCTCCTTTGGCTGTTTTCCAGTGAGAAAAATGAGTTCCAAAAGAGCCGTAATAGCCTACAAGAAAACCTTCCGCTTCTGTTTTATCCAGATACCTTTTTTTTTCCCTTTTTTCATCTTTTACATATATTTTTAAATTTATGGATGAAGGGGGATTAAAATAATTTCTTTTGAAGATAAAGTTCATAAGAATTTTCTATAATTGTATTTTGTGGGCACCCATAGTGTGCTTATTTCTTTATTTTACATGCTGTACTGAAATGCACCATGTTAGCAAAAATCATATTGACAGTATACTCCCAAATCATCCCGTATCACTAATTGAGTTGGGGGTTTTCATATCTGCTTTCACCTAGTTTTCTGAGTCTGGCTACATCAGAAGTAGTATTTAAAGCGGCTTGATTTTAATTACCTACATTTTCATATCCTTTAAAAAAGCAGTAGAGATACAAAGAAAGAAAATCAGTGCAGGCTAAACAAGTCTGTGTTTTATTCCCACAGACCCGTTTTCTGTAAAGTAGACCAGATCTCTCATGGTCACATTGCATCTATGCCAAAATAAAATTACTTGCCAAAAAAACCCCCCAAAACCACTCCTGCTTTCTGTATTGGAATTGTGAATAGTAATAATACATTTACTAATATTTTTGAATATTTTTGTACATTGTTTCTCTGTGTCCAGAACACCAACAGAAGGAATTTTAACAAGCACTTCGAGTTCAAGTTCCATCTGCTGTAAATTGGTTTAATTGCACTGAAGTACAGAATTGTACTAAAGTACAGAAGATTTGTGAAAAGTTGTTCATTGATTTTATGGAAGCTTCATCAGTTTATACAAAATGTGAAGTTTGCATCCTTTGCCAAACTTTGTATTTATATGTCAGGTCTTTCTTTTTTTACCTTTGATTCCCCCCCCACACACAGTTCAGACATTTACTGAAAAGTTATTTCCTCTCTCATATGCTTTTTCTTCTCATGTCAGGATGTCAGTTTGGATAGTAAGATTTAAGAAATGCTGTCAGAATGGTACATGGAGGCAGAAAAGTATGTCAGGAATTCCCAGTCTGACTGCATAGTTATTATCTGGAATATGAGTGCTTACTGATTTACCCTGAAAACACTGGAGTCCTTTTTTCAGTTCTTTAAATGTAATCCTGGTTGTAGCTCTAATTCTAATTGCCAGCAATAGACAGGGCTGTATTGTAGTTTTTCTATATTTCACTTCTGTTGAGCTTCCTTAAAACAAAAAGCACCTTCAGCATAGCTATGCTTTTTCTAAACATTGTGTCCAAATTTCTAAAAAACCAAACTGTTCTGTGGAAGAAAATTTACACTGTATTAATTTTCTAAATGATGCATCTCAAGAGTGCTGCAATATATTTGGCTAGGCAGTTGCTCATTTACAATTGCACCTATTTTAAATTGGGATCATTACCATAAATACGTTATTATAATAAGTTGCAGGTGTACACACATTTGTCTATTGCCCAATCATAGCTTTTTATCCTATTCCTCAGTTAATGCAAGGCCAAGCAGTAGTCCCCAGTTAACATAGAGTTATGTAGGATATCAAAACTTCTAATCAATTAAGCTTCTCAGGAATCTGTGTTCCTTCTGCTTGCACTGCTAGAAATAATAATACAGCCAGCAGTCTCTGGTTTATCTTGATTGCAGTATATTCCATGCACCTGTTTGTAGCAGCAAAGCAGTCTTAGGAACAGGAACTTAAGAATGGTTGAACGACTGAAGAAGAGAGGTCTGTCTAGCATGTTACTGTCTTTGTCAATGACAAATAATAAATGTCAAGGCAAGAGTGTAAGACCATCACAAGCCCATAGTGAAACCTTGTGCAGCAACCAGTGTTTTATGTCTCCAGGTTTTCTCAACTGGAAGTAATAACACAGTACTTAAACGACCCAATGGATTTTAGTTCTATAACTTTGTATATCTGTTCTGCATTTCTGTGTAATAATGAATATCTGCAGCATTGCATGATCCCCATTCCACAGTTAATTAGTGGTCAGAAAGATCGCCATTTGTTTTTTGTATCCTTGCTGCCTGTTTATTTCAACAGATATTTGTGGTCTTGTATCTTGCATAGGATTTGAAACAGTAGTGAAGATTTTCAAAATTATTTTCTTCACTGAAATAAAAGTTAATAAAACTTAAAATCCAACTTTCTGAAACCTTACTTTTAATCAAATTTTCATCTAAAATTTGGTGTTACAATGCAGTAGATCTTTATCGCTTATGTAGATAGTGATTAAGTTCTAATAATGCTTTATGTAATATTTTAATATTTATATTAAATTAATAAGGAAACATTTATATTTTGATACTTCAACAGTGAAATATAATTACAGTGAATACAATTCCGTAGAGAGGGATTTGATGAGATGAAACTTGCTTAAGGTGCAAGACAGTGGTTTATAGTCCAAATATCAGAACACATCACAAGTACCTCTTCCTTGTGGTCTTCATCCACAAAAAGAAACATTTGGTGTTGGATTTTCTAATTATAGACATAATACTGTCTTCCATTTTCAGCATTGTAAGCATTCTTTCATAAAAACTAAAATAAAACATTTCTACGCTAGAGAATGCTACCATGTTCTACTTCCTGATATTTTTCTTTTATTGCTTAGAGTGACTCAAGTAGTTTGAATTATGACTGTAGTTGAAAAAAACCAAATCAATCTCTAGATATATATCGTTTCCTTTTTTTTCCTTTGCTAATTTGTCTCCTTTCTTTCTCCCCTCCCACCAACAGCTTAGGTATTTCCATTTATTATGTTAATGAAGGGAATGTTAAATGTGGAGTAGCTTATACTTGTGAAAAATGTTACTACAAGCTCAGTTTGGAGGAATGACTTGAAAGCTATTATGCTGGGCAGCTTTCATTCGAAGTGTAAGCTTTTTTCAGGCCTTCTGAAAATGCATCCAAATTTGGCCAATACAGGGTTCACTGAGGAACAACTTGCAGATGTTTGTCAGACATTTTTGAGATTCTGACAGTTAAGCGTCCCTGAAGAGTCTTACTCACTGAGTATGCTTCAGTCCAGCACTGAACAACCCTACTTTAATTTCAGTATTACTTGACGGATCTTCTAGGGTTTAGGGCTTATTGGCAGTGAGCGGCAGAACTTGTCAAGGGAGTTGCCCATATCAATTGCCTTATGGCATCAGTTTATATATTTTTCTCTGCTGATATTACGTCTACACACCTAATGAGTGTAAAATGAAAACATTTTCCAATATTAGTCTTGTTTAATTCAATTTTTTAGAGCATTTTGTTTGATAGTGATTTTATCTGTTTAGCTGCATCCATTAGGGTCTCTGTACAGATCCATGCAGAGAACCCAGACCTCATACTAACCTTTGCTAACCTAATCTGTTATATTCAAATTATATATTATTCTATGTGGAGGTAATAACTCAAGTCTGAAAGCAGACTGTGCCCTCAAGGAAATGTGTATTCCATCTTTTAGTAAGTGTGGCATAGATGTCACTGATTTGGGCTCTTCTGTCTTGCTTTGTGTTGTGATTTCCCGTTGCACCTAACACTTCACTATTTAAGGACCAGTCTAAAGATGCATTGAAAATATGTGGTTAACAATGTTTAAGTTTATGATACACTTATACTCATATCTTTGGGCTCATGTATAAATGACTTGCCTATACTAGGTCAACATTCTAAACATTTAAGTTGTATATTAAAGCAAACAATAGACTAAAGTAATTGTAGTACCAAGAACTGTGTAAAGTCAAAGTCTAATAATTAAGGCTCTTGGGACAATACAGGAGAGAAATTCTGCATTTGGACATACACACTGTGATTAGTTTTAGCGAATAGCATAGCTTCTCATATTCTTATATAACAGCTCTTATCTTTTTGTATGTTTTCTTGAAGACTACACTCTAAATAAAGACTGCTATTTATATTTGTCAAGCTGGAAGTCCAGGCACCATTTTGGTGCTTGTGTCTTTTTCTTATCAATATAATGTGCCTTCTACTTGCATATTGTAAGGATTTTTTTCTCATTGTAGCACCAGTTTTATGGTCTGCATTGAACAGAACTTTGAAAGCCAGATGACCTCTAAAGTGGTTAATGAAGCACTCCATCCTGTGTAGTCACTTTATTTCCATAATAATTCTAATTATAGGAATAAAAGAACTATCTCCATCGCCTCTGAATTTGAAACGTCTGTATAAAGAAACTCTGGAAATTGAGCCCATCTTGATAATTATTTCTCCTGGTGCTGATCCTTCTCAAGAGTTGCAAGAACTTGCCAGTGTTGAAAGAAATACTGAGTGCTACCATCAGGTTAGTCTTAGATAAACATAATGATTAAAAACCACAATGTGTAAAATTTTGTGGTAGTAAAATCTTTTACCTTGGTTTTTAAGGAAGTTAGTATGTAAAAGCATAGTTTGGTGTCTTTCTGTTTGTTATTCCCATCTATCTCGCCACTAACTTCTGATTCCATTGGCAAAATGGGGTGGAGAAGAGAGACACAATTAGTGATCCTCACAGAAGCAGAATCTACCCGCGAGGCTTTCCTCCAACCTGGAGAAGGGAAAAATGAGAAGATAGATGGAAGAGAACAAACGAGACTGAGAATTGTTATACATGCTGAAACATTGTCTTTTTGCATGGAATAATTGAAATATGAACAAAACCCACTGAAAACTAGACTTCATCATTTCCTCTGTGTATGGAACTTGCATATTTCTTTCTTCAACAGAAAACATAAATCAGATGTTCAGTGTTTGTGAATACTTTGGTATTTTATGAAATTCTGTAAAATATTTTGAGAAATTTTACAAGTAAGTGGTAACCAATTTATTTTTAATGGGAGCTCCTGAACAGAACTCTTATATGTCAAATCTTTTTTAAAAAGTGTTTAAGATCAGTCAAGCAGGAAAGCTGTCAGATTTCTGGAATAGGCATACAACACAAAAATTATTTGCCAAGCCAACATAACAGTTGGTTTTTGTCATGGTATGCAACTTCTTCCCTGTTTTTCATTCAACACAAAACTGAACTGGGTGAAGATAATTCCCCTTGCATAGACTTTAATCAGGAATTGTTCTGTTAAGAAATCACTCTATATTTTCTGTGTCTGTTTCAAAATTGGATCTGTGCAGAGGTGTTGAAAACAACTTTTCATGTTTTTTAAGAAGACATTTACTGTAGCTGTTAAATTCATAGAATAACCTAGGTTGGAAGGGACTTCTCGAGATCATCTACTTCAATCCCCTACTCGGAGAGGGGAGGTCCCTCCAAGAATGGAGATCCTACAATATCTCTGGGCAACTTGTTTCAGTATTTGACCACTCTCACAGGAGAATGTTTTTTTCCTAATATCGAATCAGTATTTCCCATGATCGAGCTTGTGTGCATTGAGTCATGTCCTATCACCATGTGCCTCTGAAAGAGTCTGGCTCTATCTTCTCTGCATTCTTCAATCAGGTAGTTGTAGACAGCAAGAAGGTCTTCTGATTGCTTGGCTAAACAAACCCTGCTCAGCGTGCCCTGACCATGTTGGTGGTCTGCTCTGGAGTCACTTCAGTATGACCGTGTCTGTCTTGTGCTGGGGAGCCCAAAACTGGACACAGTACTCCAGATGTGGTCACACAAGTTCCAGAGGGGAAGGATCACTTCCCTGCACTTGCTGACTGCTTTTACTAATACAGCCCATTATGGGATTGGCCTTTGCTGCAAGGGCCGATTGTTGACTCATATTCAACTTGTTGTCCACTAGGGCCTCTTTTTCTCCAAAGCTGCTTCCTTTTTCACCATGAGAACGGTCAGGCAGATTTCCTGCTGCAGTCTCCATCCCTGGAGGTTCCCAAGGGTCCACTGGAAAAAGCCCTCAGCTCCTGGTCTGATCTGTCATGACTGGCCCTACTTTGAGCAGGAGTTTGGACTAGAGATGCTCCAGGATCCATTCCAACTTAAATTATTCTATGATCCAAGTGGTTTCCTGATATTCCTAATACACAATACCAGTATGTTTTATACCTTTCTGTAAAACATTATTTCCTTCTGTCATTTGAAATATTCAGGGGAGAGGAATTGTTATCTAGCTGATCACTGGTTAGCATAGAAATGGAAAATGTCAGGTTTAATGTTGCTTTTAAGTAGTCCTTGAAATTGTTCCTTTCCTGGAATGTGCACTGATGTAATATATTTTTCCCATCAAATTGTAAAGATTTAGATCCTACTGCCAGCTTATCTAGCTGTGAATGTTTCAGAAAGCATATTTCTTACTCTGCCCCATGGCTTTTTGTATTTATCTCTAAATATCCTTTACACATTGGACTTTTAAAATGTAATGTGGTATGGTATTTGATTAAGGAGTGGTACTCAAAGCTAAGTCATCTGAAAGTTGTCCTACTAATGAGAGTATTTTGTTGTTACTATTTTTTCCTGCACTTTCTCATGCATTTTCAATAGAACATAGATCAGATTTTTCTTCTCTGTTGAATCATTTCTCATATGGAATAAAGAACAAAGCACTAAATTTGTGTGGTGTACTACCATATTGTCTCGTGACTTTCAATTATCTTCCTTTGGCTGTTTTAAATTATTTCAAGATATTATACTTAGTTTTATTTAGGCAGAGGATATCCCTGTATCATCATATAAAGCTAAGGCCCCAAGTTTCTTTGATTCACTACAGTTTTAGGATAAAAAGACAGAGTGGATTTCCTCTTAAAGGATATTTGATGAAGTCATAATAGTCACCATATTTCTGTTTTGCTGTAGCAGTAATGCCAAGACAAGACTTTTCAGATTGGCTAAGACCACTTTCTTTTCAACCTGTTTGGTTCAGGGATTTTTGTTATGTATAGCTTCTAATTAGATTCTAAGGGAGAACTAAGGTGAATGTACTTAGAGTAAGTCTATCATCAATTATTGCAGTAATTGTGCCACAGAACAAGTCCTTCCTTTATTTTCAGTTTTCACTAATTTATCTGAAAATTCAGTTTTGGATCTTTGTATTTCCATTTGAAGATCCAAATTTATTTTAGCAGCAATATGGTACTATAAAAAATGAAGAAAAGACGGTTAAGCTATTCATATTTCCCAGTTAGAAAGGGAGCAGCCTTAGTTTTTCAGTCATCTCAATATGAAATTAAGTGTTTCTCTTCAAAGGAAGTACTCTTAACTTACAGTCAAAAGAAAATTTGTTCTCGTTTCTCTCTTGTTTTTATTGTATCAGCAGTTCTGCAGTAACACAGTTCAGTCACTGATATTTAAATTACTTCTTGAGTTCCCAGGGAATACCATCATTGTCACCAAATGATGTATGGTTTTTTTCCATAAAAAGACTAGGTAATGGTTCTTAAGAAACTCTGGTTAGATAAGTTGCAAAGAAAAAAATGCATTTTCATTAATCTTTTCCCTACTTTAGTAGCCTGTCACATTAGAGAAAATTCTGGTTATCTTTAGTACACCTTCTTTTTTGCATATGCAGTCTAACTTGGAAACACAATTTTGTATTTATCTGTTAAATGAGGTTTGATAAATTCCTGATGCCAGCTGTGTCTTTCGTTTCAGATTGCAATGGGCCAAGGCCAAGCTGACCTGGCTATTCAAACTTTAAAAGAATGTGCACGCAATGGAGAATGGCTGTGTTTAAAGAACCTGCATCTTGTTACATCTTGGCTTCCCATATTGGAAAAGGTGAGTGTAACTAGAGAAGAACGTATTGGAAACTAGACAAAATTAGTATGCAACATTTTGGAAGCATTTTAGGCATTTCCATGGTGATGTTTAAAATTACAACAATTTAAAAATAAACATAATACTGCAGGTGTTAAACTGCTGCAGATGATTGCATTTGAACGAGCATGTAAATTCCCTTGTTTTCTTAAATCTCCTTCTTCCAAGGCTGTGGATCATTTTCATGTCTTAGTTTGTCTCCCATAACATCCTGATAGACAAGCTGATGAAATACAGACTTATTTGTACCACAGTCAGGTAGATTGAAAACTGGGCGAACTGCAGAGCTCAAAGGGTTGTTGTCAGTGACAAAAAATCCAGCTGGAGGCCGGTCATCGGTGGTGTGCTCCAGGGGCTGATACTGTGGCCAACATTGTTTAACATCTTAATGATGTGGATAATGGGATGGGGCGCATCCTCAGCAAATACAGATGATACAAAACTGGGAGGAATGATTGATACAGCAGATGGTGTGCTTTCATTTAGAAGGACCTCAATAGACTGGAGACATAGGCTGACAGGAACCTTGTGAAGTTCAGCAAAGGGAAATGCCAGGTGCTTCCCCTGGGGAGGAGTAACTCCAGGCACCCAGACAGTCTGGGTGCTAACTGGATGAAAAGCAGCTTGGCTGAAAAGGCCTGGGTATCCCGGTGGCTAAGAAGCTGACCGAGACAGCAATGTGCCCTTGTGCCAAAAGCCATTGGCCTGCTGGGCTGCTTTAGACAGAGCATTGTCAGCAGGTCAAGGAAGGTGATTATTCCCTTCCAGTCAGCCCTGTTGAGACACATCTGGAGTGCTGTGTCCAGTTCTGGGCTCCCTAGTGCAAGAGAGGCATACTGGAGTGAGTCCAGTTGAAGGGCCACGAAGGTGATGGAGGGACTGGAGCATGTGTTGTACAAGGAGAGACTGAGAGAACTGGGATTGTTAAGCCCAGAGAAGAGAAGCCGCAGGAGCAATCTTATTATTATTTAGTGTTGACTGGCTGATGGGAAGTAGTAAAGGAGGCAGAGCCAGGCTCTTCTCAGTGGTGTCCCATGACAGGACAGGAGGCCATGGGCGCAAACTGAAATACAGAAAATGCCATTTAAACATAAGACAAAACTTTTTTACTGTGAGGATGGTCAAACACTGGAACAGGTTGCCCAGAGGGGCTGTGGAGTCTCCATCCTTGGAGATACTGAAAACCTGACCAGATAACAGTTCTGGGCAGCCTGCTGTAGCTGACACTGCTTTCAGCAGGGGGTTGGACTAGACAGCCTCCAGAGGTTCCTTCCAACTTCAACAAGTCCTGTGATTTTAGGTACCAGATTTAGTTGTCATTTTGCCTAAAGAGCAGAACAATTCATGGGTTAACAGCATTTTCTTCTTTACTAAAAGCACAGAAAACAAAAAGATTATGATTATGTTTTATAGATTACCAAAATTAATAGATTGTGAGAAAATCTGTTAGAGGTTTTTCTGCTTTGTTTCTTCCAAGACATATAAACAAAACTGTTGACAAGTCAATTGTCAAACAACTTTGGTAGCTTCCGTGGAAAATATGTCTGTTTCAGATGCGCATAAAACACCAGCAGTATATTTTCATGCATTCAGTAATTATGTATTTTTTTGTGAATCCTTTGTATTTGAAATAGCATTTGACAATATTTATTCTCTTAGAACTTCATTTTCCTATCCTCATTTTTCTGCGAATCATGATATGTGAAGTGTGCATACAACAAACACTTGAAGAAAAATAAATCGATATATCTATACAGTTGTTGAATGTCATCGCGATCTGCTGTTGATACGCAGCCCACAATCCAAGCCTTCATCTTTTGAGATGTAGCCTTCTGGTGGTATTTTTACTTAAAAGAAGTAAAGAACTGCTATATATTTTTATGCTCTGAATTTAGGATCTGTGAGGGAGTTGCAAATACTTTGACAAGGCTAGGATGAACTTTGAACTTGAGCACAGTAGGCATACAGAATGTGTGGAGACAAGACATCTTGAACAATAGTCTTTTGAATAACCTTACTTGTAAAAACAGCTAAAGAACTTTTAGACAAGCCTAACTTTCTAATTTAGGATATTATAATTTTTTAAATACTGTTCTGTATATTAAAAAAACCCCAAAACCTACTTCAATATGTAACATCTCTTTAATAGGAACTGAATATGTTACAGCCTCAACCAAACTTCCGCCTTTGGCTTACTACTGAAGTTCATCCAAAATTTACTCCGATTTTGCTTCAGTCAAGTCTGAAAATAACTTATGAAGTAAGATCTGTTTGGAAAGCTTTTATTGCATGTTTTCAAAGAATGAACTTTGACGTATGGTAAACTATATGTTTAGATAAAGTTTGGATAATGTGGACTATTTTCAGAACTGGTTTTGCTTTATATTTCAATTAGATGTAATACAAAAAATGCTGTGAATTTACTTTGAAAGATTTTTAATGATCATTATAATGTATATGTGGAAATTTGCAGAAGCTGTGCTTTAAAGGGAAGGTTTGTAAAATTTCTTTCCAGATATTTTTTCCACTTGAAAGTCTGAACTGAAAGCATTTTGTTTTGTGCTCCAAATTCTTTTATGCATTTAATCAGTGTTTCTTAAAAGCAAAAACCTGCACAGCTGCTGGGACTTGGACAAAACCCAAGGAATTCCTCCTTCTTGATGAATGTACTCATCTGAAGATCATGGAATCACACTTTCTTTTCCTTATTTTTCTTTTTGGACCCATAGCTTTATATTCACTGGACCCTTTTAAAAAAAATGGCTCTCCTCCCATACAGCAGGATATACAGTTAAAGGAGTTTACTAAAAATTGAGAGCTTTGCGTTCAGAATGGATCAACTTAAGGAATAACCGGGACCATGCTCGTCCAACTTGTTGGAAAGTGCTCTAATCATTATGCATTAATGTCTATTATGGAAATCATGGATAGGGGTGCTACTAACTCTTGCATTGCTTATGGAGCATGGGGATCTTGTCTACAGCTAAACCAAGAAGCTCTGACCTTTTAGAGTCCAATGTTGCTGACTTTCAAGAAGCCAAAATTGTTACACTTTCATATTGACTGCAGGTATTTTTAAACTTCCGGGGTACCTTCTTGCTTATATTGAGGCCTTCAGTGGTACAGAAACTACAGAACTGCGTAGGATTGTCACATTTCTTTTCATCTAGTTTCTTGAAGTTACTGATCCCACTGTCTTGGGAATAATTGGAACTTGGCACTGATGCAATGTTCTAAATCCTTTTGCTACCATATTTTTAATTTATAGTAAATAATTTTATTACCACAAAAGGTCAATGATCGCCAATGAGTTGACTAATAATATGTGATTATTACATGGTTGTGGTATGTCCCTTAACTGCTACCAGTCAAGATGTAGATAGTTTAAAAGAAAATCATCGATAGATTACAATATTTTTCAATTTGCCACAAGTGTACATATGCAACTGTGGTAATCTTATGGAAACATTAACAAACATTCTTTTTCAAAAGAAAGAAAGAACATTCTTATAAATCTGAAAATGTGATTTAAATCTCTTTAAAATTTATGTTTGCCTTCACATTTGCAAATAATTTGAAAATGGCTGGGTATCTAATCAGCTGTTACTTTTAGGAACTGTAATCTTTGTTACTATATACACTTTAACTGCAGTTATTTCTACTGGTTGCAAACACTACCTAACACTAAATCAGAGAACTAACATTTTGTCATACATATCTATATGCTAACTAACGGAGTGTGGTGATGGCATAAGGCGAGTTGGTTCTTATCACAGAAATGATAATTGGTAGTTGAGCTTGTAAAATCAGAAGAAAGTTCTTGTTCTTGAAAAAACTGAATTTACTTTTAAGCTTACATATTTTGATAGAGTAGTATTCTTTCACTAAGTTCTTTTAGTGTAATTCAGTCTTCCTATCAGTTGGTCCTGGTTACAATTTCAGTATGTTTAAGTTGTTTAAGCTGTTTTCAGTATAAGATCATTCTGTTGTTAGGCCATTTATTACAAGCAGATTTTTTTCTTGTTAAATTTTGTTTTATTAAGTACTGTTTGTCATTTCATTAAGTTATAAATTGTAAGTTAGAATTCAAGAAAATGGTGCATAAAAGTAGCAGGTTTTCTGTCTAGAACAGTGTTTTTCCTTCCAATGCAGGCACCTCCGGGCCTCAAAAAGAATCTCTTGCGAACCTATGAATCTTGGACACCAGAGCAAATTAATAAAAAGGGAAATTTGTCTCGAGCGCATTCTCTCTTTTGTTTAGCATGGTTTCATGCTGTATGCCAAGAAAGAAGAAATTATATTCCTCAGGTAATAGGTTTTTTTTTGCTAGCTTTTAAAAAATTTACCCCACTTATTAGCTTTTATACTTGTGTCGTGGTTTAGTCCTTGGAAGTATTTTTCATCAGGTATATGTTGGATCACGTACAGACATGAGTAAAACTTGGATGCTTCTGGTGCCTGCCTTTATTATTGTCTCTGAATTCATTGCAAAATAAGACCTTGGTAGCCTAAATTCCTATCCCTCTGAAAATTGCTACTGCCTGGATGGCGTTATTTTGTGATTTCTGTACTAGCTGATACTGAGGCAGGAGTTGAGGTCCCATGGAAAAGATTCTGTAAATCCTATTTACTTGGGACAGGAAAAAGTGTTTTGGAAACATACATGATTGAATGGAAGGTGTGAGAAAAGAGATGCTTTGGTAGGAAGAGGAGATTATATTGTGTACTTTTACTGCATACAAACCCTGTTCAAGGAGAAGGAAGAACGAGGAATTTACTCATTTGTTGTGAGGATTATAATGGTTTTCAGAGACTGATGTGGTTTTTTCTTAGATAAATTTTTGTTTAAAGCAAACATTTCTTTCTGGCTGCAGATGCTTGTATTAAACAGAACAAAACCCCAAGCAACAAACTGTTCTATATTTTATTTATTTTATTTAGACTAGTGGTAAAATTAACCTGTCATCTGAAAGATTTGATCTGGCAGAACCTGGAACATTTGAGAGTTTTTTGCTAGTTTTGACTTGGTGATTTAGAAGGTTGTCTGCCTGTTGTAGTAACAGACTTTGAATATGGTGTTCAAGAAGTAGAATATGTGAAAATATTTAAAGTACTGATCTGATATATGAACTCTCATTTGACTTTGTTCAAATTCGTGTTCATTTACCACCATCTTTCTAAGTGACACAAGATAGGATTACTGCTTTCTCCTTAATTCCACTGCAACTGTGTTTGTCTTATGTGCAGACTTAGTGATGATTTTATATTTTGCTTAAGATTACCAGTTTCTAACATTGCTGGACTGCAATCCCAGCTAGAAGCTCATTCATTTTACATTGAAATGTTATTCATTTTACAACAAATTTCAGGTTGTTTTGGGTCCATGTACAGATCTGTCCAAAAAAATACATGAACACTGTAGCATCTTTCCAGTTTATGACCTACAGGGTGACTGGCTGATAGCTTGATTGTGATCTGTGGAGTAGCTGCAGTCTTGACCTGAGACTGTGTCCATCTCACTGGATACATGCATGTTACCTGACACATTTGCACATTTCTCATCATGAGTCATATGCTCCTGTTCCTGTGACATGATCCATATGCAAAAGCACAACCATAAGAAGGTACAGCAACAGGAGATACCTTTGAGATCTGGATTTCCTAAGTTTTGTATCATATATTAATGTTTATTTATGCTTATCCATTTACACTGAAAGGTATCTGTGAGAATTACATACACATTACACATTAATGCTATATAAAGAATAATGCCACCAAGAACAGAAAAGAGGTACAAACTGAGAATGATTAAAATATGCATATGGCAGTCAGCATTTTTGCTGTAATAGTAGCAGTAATTGCTTTACTCATATTTTTTTTTCTGTCAGTAGGGAAGTGATGTGAATTAAGGAGTAAGATGATGAAAGTATAACATAGACTGTGTTTGAAGAATCAGACCTATTTATTAAAATCCAAAGGAAACTCAAATGCAAAAAAGCCCTCAGAAATAAAATCATAATTCAATGTGTGATCTAGTCACAGATGTCAGCAAGTTTCAGCTGAAGTAAATACTGTTCGGAAATAAAAGAATCTTAAGTTTACTTTCCTCTTACTCAATGGATTCTAGTTTGGATACGTATGTAAAATTAAATGCACTGGTAGAGCTGATTTTTTTTTTTTTTTATACCTACCTCCACTGAATGTTTCCAAAGATACAGTTTAGAGGACACAGGTTGTCTCTTTTTTCATTCAGTGTTAAGTATTATACAGTACCCAGTAACCACCTGATATTTGTATTGCTTCATGATATTAATTCATGATCGTCATTGTGTGACTAATTAAATTCTTTGGATTTCTTTTAATGGTAGGGTTGGACCAAGTTTTATGAATTTTCTTTATCTGATCTCCGTGCTGGTTTTGACATTATTGATAAACTCTTTGAGGGTAAGTCACTTCTTAAGGAAAGATTTCTTACCTCTACAGCATAACCCTTCTGAATGTCTCTCATTTATAATGTTTAGAATATGAAAAACTTCCATGGTTATTTTTATAAATTGGTTACTTTGCATGATTGTTTTGTTTGGAGTGGGGCCATTCTGTTTAAAGGCTGCTTTGAAGGTATTTAAATTTTGCATTTGAATCTTCATTGGAACATTTTCACAAATATAAACACGTGACCAGGTAGTTAGGTAGCTACATCAAAACTATTCCATGATCAGGTTTATTTTTTCCCATATTTGTGTTGCGCAGACTGGCATTCTCATAGGCAGTGACAAGGCATGGTTTGCCAGATAGCAGAGCCTGGAGACTCTTTCCAATAGGCAGCAGGTAAGAGGTTGCCTTATTTTAGGGCAAAAGAGAGTTTAGCTGTATGGATGCAAGCCACCTTGTGCCACCTGGCCTTGGGTTCAAGCAGGACCTGTCCTGTTTTACCATTAGTAGAGATGTTGCATGAAGACCTGTATCTTTCTACAGCACTCGGATAAGAGTGGAGATGCTGCAAGGCTCATCACTAGTAAGCAAAGCTAGAAACACAGGGTGAATCATAGTTCCATTTTTGGGAGGTTGGGTAAACCAATAATTTCTTTCTGCTCAGCTATTCTGCTCAGCTTCTCGAGTTCAGAGGAATAAAAAGGAAATACAGGAATGACTGAAAGGTGAAGTTTTCTGTCTCCGTTCCTTCCCAGAGTGAGCTCCCCCATATATTGAATAAATGAATTGAATATGAACTGAATATGAGTCAATTCTTCTTATTGAAGCTCACTGTTAGACAGAGCCCACTTCATTGTTAAGTAGCGTAGTAATTTCTTAGTTAATATGAAAAAGGTAACTTTTTTTTAAGTCTTTGCATTTTATATAATTTCACAGTAAAGTTAGGAACTGATATTTAGAGATTATTTATGAACATTGACTTAAATGAGATTTATGGATGATTCTGGAATTGGACCTTAGTTATACAGACTTGAAACATACAGTGATGTAAAGAGGTGGAATCATTAACTATCAATGATAATCATTAATCATTAACTATTACTGTGAAGATAAGTTTTTTTACTAAGGAATGTTTGAAGTATTTGGAAACAACAGTTACCACCAGTAAACCCCCCCTTAAAGTAACTGCTGCTTCCTTTTTTCAAGGGACTTTAAGAAGTACATTTCTGATCAAGCTTTTACACGTACATGAAAGCTATAGGGTATAAGTAGATCATTGTCCCATGTAGTTATTTTGGACAACTGTGATAGAAGGGAGGGAAAATAAGTTATTTTGAACTTGTGGGATACAGCTAAGCCAGAGTAACCTAATTGCAACACCAACCTGACCAGGAAACTAATAGTAACATGCTTAGTTTTATGTGTTATGTTGTGTGATTTATAATGATTTACAAAGTACCTATCCTGGACCTCTTTGTGTTTGAAAGATGACATTTCCAGTAATGTTATCTATTTCAAGCATGATCTGGTTTTGGTTCAATCAATCAGTTTAGTTTATGAGATCAGATGGTGCTGTGATACAAAGTAGTGTATAAAATTTTGAACAAGGGAAATTATTTTTATTCATGACAAAGCAGCACATAATTAAAATTCTAATAGCATGATTTCTGAAATGCATATAACCTGTTTGTTTTCAACAATAAAGAACCCTTCAAGACTTAAATAATATTTCTAATAACTCATTTCGAAACACAGTACATGTTCATTTTATCAATGACAAATATTTACAAATTCATGGAAGTTTCTGCAACTTTTATTATTTGGTAATATAGAAGAAAACCACTTAGGAATTAATTATTTGATGTGTTTGTATTTTTTTATTTCACTGAAGAACTGCAATAACAAGAAGAAATGCTTATAATGCAATGCTATCCATTGATACAGTAATAATATTAATTCGTTTATAGGTTCCAAAGATTTTCGGTGGGATTTTGTGCATGGCTTGTTTGAAAATGCAATTTATGGAGGCCGTGTAGATAATTACTTTGATATGAGGGTTCTTCGGTCCTACTTGGAGCAGCTTTTCAATTCACGAGTCATTGGCAGTTTAAATGCTAGAGGCAAGAAGATGACCAGTTTCCCATATTTTATCTCTTTGCCGAATTCCTGCAGTATTTTGGTAGGTATACATCTTCTATCACCTAATATAGAAACTAGAATAAGTTATTTTCAAGAATTATTCTTAGAAATAATTCCACAAAGAAAAACAGAGTTACAATCTGAAGGATACCTCCATTTATTTAAACCTTCTTTTGTGTGGAGCACTAATTCTTAAGTTGTCAGAGCTATTCTGGTAGCCTGTTTGGTCAGTCTCCTTTTTTATGATGTCTGATCAGGCTATGGTGCAGAGCAGCATAGCTGTGAAGAACTGAGTAAAAGAAATTGGGTCAATTTATGACAAAGAAGGTTATCATTAAATTTTTGTATTACTTAGTACATTAGCATAATAACACTCCTGTACAGACTGCTAAACATTCTTAGAACTTCCAGATGAAATAGGAAAATCTGAATATATCTCCTTATTTACAAAAGATATCAACATTCTGACATAATCTGCTAACATGGTGTGGAGGGTATATGACATTTTATTTGGAGATAAAGATGGATTCTGATCCTTCTTTAGTATTCCTTTAGTGTAAAAAAGAGGGTATTCAACAGAGTCTAAAGAACTTACCTCTCCCTATCCTTTCACATACTATTGTTGTTGTTACTATTATTAAGATTAATTTGCATTTTAATGAAGGACTCCATACTAGGCCTCTAATATGCATTGATGTAAATGGAATTATGCCAGTTAAAATAAATTACTGTCATTTGGCATTCTCTACCTAGATTCTGGATGTTTAGGTTTGGGGTTTGTTTACTTTTTAGTTTAAATATGAGGGTTATTTTCTATAGATGTGCTGAGTTAATATCACAAAGAGGGAAGGAATAAACAAACCAGGCTGGTCTCTATTCTTGTAAATAATATGGTGAAATAGATGAACCTTTATTCTTGCCTGCACTGCCTTTAATATCTCTCAATTTCTTATAGTTATATGATTATTTATGTGATAGTTTATTTATGTGACAGTTTATACTTCTCTGTCTTAAATATTTTTCTGCAAGTAGTTTTGATTAATAGAACACTAATAATAAAGCTAAGTTTGATTACTTAGGTTAATTGGAATAGTATCTCATACTAAATAGTGTTCTCTCAGTGTTTGGTGTAGAGGTCTGCTACTGTTGTTATCTCTGAAGTGACATTCCGTGTCAAAGTAAATCATGCACACCTAGGACATGCTCCTGCAAGCAGAGGACAAAATTCACATGATATAATGCAATAATGTGCAGCCAGACTTTCAAATAGTAAATATTTTTGCCACAAATAAAGCCACAATAAAAGAGACGTCCAGCACCATTAGTCTACCTATGCCTCTTTCTGTTTTGTACAAGAGCAGCATTACTAGTGACTACTACACTATAACCACTATTGATGCTATTCTGCATTTCCAGTGATCATGCAAACCTATTTTTACGCAACGATTTCACTTTCATTGAGTGATAATATCTTCATAGATGTAAATAGAAGTGAGTGCTCATCATTTTATAAATATGTATTATACTCTATTTTCAGATTCCACATGCCAAAATCTTTTTTCTTTTTTATATTGTCACTAATCTTACTTCTAAGTTTTCAACAGAAGTATTGTAACTATTTTTCAGAGACAGTCTTAGCATATTTTTCTTTTCAGTTGATAGCATCACTGTAATCAGAATTGCTTTTTGCTCTTTTAGAGTGGAAACACTATATAAAAGAAGATATATTTTTATAAATAAAATTAAGAACTTTATAAATAAGATTACCAAGATATGTTGTGTTATATACTTACTTTAGTCTTTGTGTGATGCAGTGCACTTAATGAAATTTTTTTCAGCTTACACTGTTAATTTCATGAGCTAAACAAAAAGTTCCCTCAGTCATGCTTATTCTTTTCTTCTAATGCAGGATTATCGTAATATTATTGAAAGCCTTCCAGAAGATGATAAACCTGACTTCTTTGGCCTGCCTGCTAATATTGCTCGTTCATCACAATGTATGATCAGTTCCCAGGTAAATTTACATTTTTCATTGACCTCTGAATCTTTTCTGTGTCCACTATAAGCTAGAGAACCCAACCACCTGTTCCTAAATGTGAATTTCCATAAGAAAGTCAGAGTAAATGGAGGGATTTTTGGAATATGTTGACTTTTATCTGTAGAATATTTTAATATAATAACAGTTATCCTTAGTTACAAAGATATTCGTTTAGGACTTAAATAAACAAAGAATTATTGAGAAAGTTTGCAATAATATAATTCAAGTCATGTTGAAGAGTATCCATGTATGTCAATGGTTTCACTAGTTCTATTTCTACTGTTAATCTAACTCCTGTCAATGCGATAGTTCTTAGAGCTGCTGTTCACTGCAAGTTAACGTTTTGGTTTTGGTCACCAAATTCTAATACAATAGTTTGACAGATAGAATATTTTTATTTTATGCTTTTTCTGAAAGAGAAATTTTGAAGAATTCTCCCAGCAGTCAGAATTCTGTCTTTACTATTAGAAATGTGAAATTTTGAAAACAATGTTGTTCTCACTGAAGAATAGCTTACAACTACTTAGTCATGTCATAATGAAATTCTCAGCATAATGACAAGTAAGTTCCAAGGTTTTTGTAGGTCTTAGTCTAAAAATTCATTAATTTTAAATATTTCCATTATTGCTTTAGCTGTAAGATATGGTGGATGTCATAGTCAAGAGTTCTCAACTATCATTTAATTGCAGGCTAGTCCTCATTTGAATATATGTTTAATATGTGAGAATGCAGTTATCTTAGTACTGGAATAATAGGCAATGATCAAAGATTTTTCACCTGTTTGGTTTAGAGTTGTATGTACAAGCCTCAGCTTGGGTGAGTGACCTGGGTCACCTATTAAGCTGGTTGCTATTAATGGCACAGCTGAGGCAGCTATTCTTCTCACCCTTTGTGGAGCCAGAAAATACTGAGTGTCTCTCTTGTTCTCCTCCTAACTTCTATTTTGTCAGTCTAAAAAGGGAAAAGATGGAGTGATTCCAACTCTGGATGTCTTCATCATCGATACATTGTTTGGTTTCTTGGACAAAGCTTTTCATTGCTAATTTCATTTTGCAGATGACACCAAACTGGGTGGGAGTGTCGATCTGCTGGAGGGTAGGATGGCCCTGCAGAGGGACCTGGACAGGCTGGATCGATGGGCCGAGGCCAACTGTATGAGGTTTAACAAGGCCAAGTGCCAGGTCCTGCACTTCAGTCACAACAACCCCAGGCAATGCTACAGGCTTGGGGAAGAGTGGCTGGAAAGCTGCCTGGCGGCAAAGGACGTGGGGGTGTTGGATGACAGCTGGCTGAACATGAGCCAGCAGTGTGCCCAGGTGGCCAAGAGGGCCAACAGCATCCTGGCTTGTATCAGAAATCATGTGGCCAGCAGGAGCAGGGAAGTGATCATCCCCCTGTACTCGGCACTGGTGAGGCCACACCTGGAATACTGTCTCCAGTTTTGAGCCCCTCAATACAAGAAAGACATTGAGGTGCTGGAGCGTGTCCAGAGAAGGGCAATGAAGCTGGTGAAGGGTCTGGAGCACAGGCCTTACGAGGAACGGTTGAGGGAACTGGGATTGTTTAGCCTGGAGAAGAGGAGGCTGAGGGGAGACCTTATCGCTCTCTACAACTACCTGAAAGGAGGTTGTAGTGAGGTGGGTGTTGGTTTCTTCTCCCAAGACGGTAGGGTTAGGACGAGAGGAAATGGCCTCAAGTTATGCCAGGAGAGGTTTAGATCGTATATTAGGAAGAATTTCTTCACGGAGAGGGTAGTCAAGCACTGGAACAGGCTGCCCAGAGAGGTGGTGGAGTCCCCATCCCTGAAGTGTTCAAAACGGGTAGACATGGCACTCTGGGACATGTTTTAGTGGGCATGGTGGTGTTGGGTTGATGGTTGGACTGATGATCTTAGAGGTTCTTTCCAATCGTAATGACTCCTAGTTTTTACTTTCATTGAAAAATAATCCAGCCACCAAGCCAGGAAACATGAAATTGCTACTCTACCTTTAATTGGTTTAGTGGTGGACTTGGTAGTATTAGGTTAATGGTTGGACTGGATCATCTTAAAGGTCTTTTCCAATTTAAACGATTCTATGAGTCTGTGATAATATTTTATCACTTCCCTTAGGTGTCAATTTAGTTGCCTAAAAATTGGTATCTTGCGTCATCTGGAGGTGCCCTAGTGTATTTAAGACATCTACTAGGAGCTGCCAAATATGACACAGCACCCAAGTGAATACATTTTCTTGTTGTGCCAGCAATTGGAATTCAGGGGCAAAATGTCACTAGAAGCCAGTGTTAAGCAACTGATTCCCACTGCTTGTGTACCGTGATCCACTAGAGTGTGGCTCTGGAGGTCCTGTGTCATAACTGCCTATCCATAACATTTTCTTGGGTAACATACAGAGTCTCAAATGGCATTATGTGTAACAACTGAATTGAGCCACTAAGGCCTAGAGTCTGTGGAGGAGTTCAACTGAGAAGTGGCTGTACCTCAGCCTGAGTTGAAATTCGGTAATGCTCATAGGCAGGTGAAAGTCCAGCTTTTGTTTATTCAGGTTTGCTGGGCATTCTACTACCTTTTAGCTCAAATATGGAACAAGTTTAGGACTTTGAGGCAAAACTTAAATTCTTTATTCAATTTTTCTTTTTCAATGCTTTTTAGTTAAGTCTGCATGAGAGCACACGATTACTGTGTAAGCACAGTTAAACAGTGCAAATCTTTAACTAGTGATTAGCATAGTTTATTTGGTAAATTAATTGCATCAGGTGACATGAAATTTGGTTGAACTGAGAATCTTATTTCAGAGCTGTGAAGTGAGCTTGTCTGTATATCAGACTCACTTTAATTTTCTGCACAGCCCTAGCATGCTGTCTCATATAGGGACAAGTTATAGGGGTAAAAAATAAAAGATTAAATCATAAAATACCAGGTTGGAAGGGACCTCAAGGATCATGTGGTCCAACCTTTCTTGCCAAAGTCAATTGGAAGTTCCCTGTAATTGGAATTCCCTATGATTTCAAGACTTAGAATTACATTTTTTAAAAAGGTATCTAATTGTTTGCTCACATTCACCTAAAAAGGGCTCCATGCAGAAATTTCTTATTAGTATAAGACCTTTGATCTGTTAAAAAGAAAATTGCCTTTGAGTATTGCATTTGTTGAATATCAGATACAGTACTGGCAAATTTGTTTAAATATATCCATTCACTTAAATCCATAGCTGTATGGTCAAATTATTTATTTTATTATTAGCACATGAAACTATAAAGCTATATAAAGACAAATCAGTAGGATGAAGGTGCATAGGGTAATACACAGAGCTCAAAACCTCCTCTATTGCAAAGCCAAAAAATGTGCAAATACTCAATGTAGGTTTTTGGTTTTGTCTTAAAATCTTTTACATAAACATCAACTTTAAAAGCTTTTGTTTCTGTCAGATACACTGTAGACTGCTGATTATTTTATTTATTTCAGCTATACTTACTTAACTTGTTAAGAGCTGCAGTTGTTAAAAATGCTAGTATTTGAAAATAAGTCCTTAGTTAACCTCCATGAAATCAGAATAGATTCAGAGTTCCTGTGTGTCCTGGTTTCGGCTGGGACAGAGTTAATTTTCTTCC